GACGATTCCACAAGAAATTAAAGATTGTAACAATTTGCATCTTTTTAAAAATAAACTGAAAAATTTTTTAATTACGAAAAGTTCTGTTTTTCAAGGATAATAATGTATATGTATATATATATGTATATAAGTGTGTACATATTTCATTAACATTGATACATTTTCTCCTATTGACAATTTTATTTTATCATTGAGAAGCTATTTTGAGCTGCACGGTGGCCGAGCCCACAAGAATTAATTTTCTTTTTTTGGTCTCCGAATCATTCATGCTTTTGTTTTGTTTGATTGAATAAAAGTGATTTGATTTGATATATATATATTGTACTATACCCAAGGTTTGTTTTATTTGTTTACGTATTTTTCTGTTGCGCTTCGGAGGGAATTTATTTTCTATATTTGCTATGACGTCATCATCTTATTATTTCATGATAATTGGTAATAGTAATTATTATTTTTATTAATTATTTTTTGATTGTTTATGATATTTATCTCGTTGGCATTTTAACCCAGCTTACATTTATTTTCATTTATTTATTTACTAATTATATGACGTCATCTATAATTACCTATTATATTTATTTACTGTTATTTAGTTTCTTTGGTTGTTTGGTTTCTCGTTTTGTTCTGCTTGTTTTAACTAGTTCAGACCCGACATCATGCTACCAGATTACTATTTCAGTATAAACTCGTTATTACTACAACTCTTACTGCTGCAGCTGCCACTACTACTACTACTACTGCTGCTGCTGCTGCCACAAAAACTATTACTATTATTTCTTATTTGTACTACTACTATTACTACTACTGCTGCTACATTAGTACTATTATGAAAATTATTGATGATATTATAATCATAATAATTAATTTGGAATTTTATAGAGGAATCTGAACAAAAAGCAGAAACAGAAAGAGTTGCTTCTAGCTAGCAACAATGGTCTTCATAATAAATTATGAGATTAGTCACATGTGCCTTGGTTCTAAAGGTTCTAAAATGTTCCATTGGTTCAGTTGGTACCCCTGGGTGAATGTTTAACATTCATCTATTTCGATTCTTTCTTTTGTTGGTAGGTAATTAACAATGAAGTTCTTTATTTTATTTTTTGTGCCCTTTCTTAAAGTTTTCTTGTCACGGTAAAACTAAAGAATTTATAACAATGGTTTCAAGCTGGGGAGATGGGCGAAACCTAGATGACATTGTTTTTGTTAAGAAATATGTTTAATTATTTTCAAATTATTTTTGTGAGATTATTATCTGTAATAATTAAAACTATATAAAAGTTATTTTTGTATGTAAAATTGTATAGAAAAATATTTAGTTCATGTAGTTTTTAATCAATATCTTCAAGATGTATTTATTTTTCATTCATTTATTTATGTTATATTTATTTATTTTTATTTATTCATGTTATATTTATTTATTTTTATTTGTTTATTTTTATTAATAAATAAAATGTAAAAAAAAATATATTTCTGCCAAATGCAAATTTGGCAGAAATGTATATGAGAGTAACATGAACCCCTATGTAATAATAACAACGAGTCCTTGTGCTGTCTTGTGCTGTACGGCTTGGAGCTCTTTATTTGTCACTATCATCATCATCAATCCTGTCGGCATGATCGTCGTCATCATCATTTCAATCATCGTCATTTGAATCACATGGCCAGCCATCATCACTTATTACATTTTTTTTATTCTTCGGCATGGTGTAGTTCTGGCGAAGTGGTCCTTAACACACTGCCTTAACACAGGCTGTGTGTTAGTGTGTGTGTATGTGTGTGTGTGTGTGTTTATAATGATGAACGATGATTATATTGAATGTTGTGCAATTTAAAGAATTTGCAAAACGCTCTAATTCTGATGTAACGAATGTCATAATTTATTGACCTTATTTTGTTTTTGTGTGCGTGTGTGTGTGTGCGTGCGTGCGCGTGTGTGGGTATGTGTACATTTTCTTCAGCATCATTATCACTATCATCATTGTTGTTATTATCTTTATCTATAATTGACAAGTTGGATTCATCATCAATGACCATCAATTTTCATCGGTATCATATTAATCATCATCATTCTTGTAATCACCATCATTATCATAATTATCGTTATCATCATCATCATCTCATCATCATCATCTTAGTTGTTATGGCATTTACTGTGTTTCTGTAGTTTCCTTTAGCTTTTGACATTGAGTATCATCTCTTTTCTCTCTGTTTCTCTCTCTCTCTTTTTCTGTTTTTCTCTCTCTCTCTCTCTCTCTCTCTCTCTCACACATACACAACACACATACATAGATATATAGACATCCATGTATACAAACTGTATTAGCCCATCGGTAATAATATAGCATAATAAAAAATGAAATACAATGGATGTTTTAGATGTGAATTCTTAATTGAATTCGATTTAACCAGCTTGCTAGCACGTATGCATATTTATTGTATAGTTGTGTGTGTGTGCGTGCGTGTGTGTGTGTGGTGTGTTTGTCTGTGTGTATCAAGTATTGTTGTGACTTTTACATTCACTCCTACACAATTTTGTCGTCGTTGTTTACTGTTTAGTTGTTTACAAATGCTCATTGAAATTGAAAAAATTTCCATAATTAAAAGTCTAGCTGTGTTAGTGTGAATTTCAATCATACCTTCTTGACTAGTAAGTCGCGAATAGGTTAAGAAATATGATGTCAGATTTAGGCATTGCAATGAATAGTTTAGTAGTTCTGTTTGAGTGGGCGGACATTATGGCCACTTGTGTATGGTTAGTTGACTGTCCTAAATGAATAAATTCAAAACTTAATTAGCGGCCAACTAATTAATTAATTAATTAATCAGTTAATCTATTAGCGAATCAAGCAATCAATCAATCAATGAAGAGCACCATCCCAACAGTCTGAATCGATTCAAATGAGTCCGCCAGCCAATTAATAATCAGTCAATTAGCAAATTGGTTATTTATTTCACATGAATTATGAATTAATATTTATTAGTCATTCAGTGAATCGATCAAATGAATAGTTTTCTAATTAATTAATTGATTAATTTATTGCTAATTAACGTTGCCATTGAATTAATTAATTAATTAATAATTATAGAAAATTACTAGATGTAATAATTGCAATCCAACAGCAGGCATTCACAGATTTCTTTGGAGAGCATAAACCATTGGAGTCAGCGATCTGGCAAGGGATCCTGTACACATTGAACTGTGTGGTTGCACTGGCTTGCCATATAAAGTTCAAGTAACGAGAGAGAAAGATAACCCAACTTCACACAACAGAAGAGCTGTATTAAGCTCTCAATGACAGTTTATGTATGAGTGTGTGTGTGTCTTTGTTTGTGTGTGCGTGTGCGTGTGTGTGTGTGTGTGTGTGGTTGTGTCTCATTTCGATGAAAACAATGTTGAATTATTATCATTGTCAAGTTTGCTTATCTCTTGTCCATTGGTGTTATCATAATCGTCATCATCATCATCGTCGTCGTCGTCATCATCATTCCGTTAAAAAGTTTATAAGTGTTAATAAAGATTATTGCCTAGTTGTTATCATTTAATATTACTATGGCGATGGCAATGGAGCTGTTTAATAATTGTTTAATCGTAACAGTAGTTGTAGTAGAAATAATAATAATATTAATAATAATAATTAGTGATTGGTATTTTTGTTAGCAATTTTTTTTGTTAAAATGCAATTTTTCAGGTTATTTTCTTTTAACTTAAACTCAGATCGTAATATAATGGTGATCCTTGCACCACCATCATTATCGATTATCATTCGCCCAACATTTTTTTAGTTCATCAATTTGTCTAAATGTTTTCACCCTAACCCTATCTGTCGAACGTTATGATTCTATATTATTGAATATAAAATTCTCTAGTCCAGTTTGGTTTAACATATACATGTGTGTGTGTATGTTTGTGTGGGTGTGTGCGTATGAGCTTGTACTTTGTGGGTAAACAGCCACAAATCTTTCTATATGGCTTCATGTCTAAACAGAAACAACAGTTTACCATAAAAATTTTCATGCTTCTTTTTTACAATTTTTATGGTCAATTTCATACAGTTTGACTGTATATTAGCAGGAACGTGGTAAAATTTAAATGGTTATATAACAGCACAGTAATATGACAATATAATAATAATGTTAATTGGTTGCTGGTTATTATGACAAAAGTAGTGTTTCATTTTATCTATGTCCTTAGATGCACATACATACGTACAAACAAACAAGCACATACATTGAACATACGTATATATACAACCACACATACACATATAAAGATACACACTTACACGTATGTACAGTACACCGCACGTACAAACACACATACAAAGATACACATACATACGTTTATATACAAAACAAGTTTTTGCTTAACTGACCGCCGACGTAATTCTCCATAGTAAATATTGTGCCTATAACTTAATATATTACAAGTACCTATACCTATTGGAACATTGTGTATATACCTATTACATTCATTTCATTGTAATTTAAATTTGACTGTCAAGATATTATTTAAATAGGCGCGAATTGAATTCTGTCACACTATACGTAGGCGTGTTCAGAAGTGCCGCGTAGATTAACGTCAATTATGGTTAATTGATTAATTAATATTCAATAAACTGTTTTTATTAATTTTTTTACTTTCTTTACTTTTATATAAATATTTTTTTTTCATTTATTTTTATGTCGAAATACAAATGAATTGACAAAAATAAAGCAAACATAGAATTGGGCGATTCTATTGTAGGAGGAACGAGGATGAACGATATCAACAGTAATCGTGAATACACCATGTATAATACAAATTTTTTCTCCAACAGTAATCAATATCCTAACAAGACCACTAGCGATAAAATTAACAACAGGATTACAAATATTAAAATAATAGTCATAACAAAAAAAATAAAACAATTCATTTTACAGCAGCAATAACAAATAACAACAAGTAATAACAGAGATACGACTGAAAAGACATGAAAAAAAACAAAAAAGAAAGTTCTAGATTATAATTCGGCTCTAGCTTTAGCGGCATCAGGGGCATATTTAGGTAGAAGTTGCTCAACGAGATTAATGTAGTCAGATTTTTCTGTGCATCCTTTGCAGTCCTCGCCCCAATCCAAGAGAATCTGTTTCAGTTCATTTACCTTCAACTTCTTGAAGTTAACTTTAGAAAAGTCGAATGTCTTCTCTGTAATTTCGAATGAATAAAATTTTAGTGAAGTTAACAGAAATGAATTGATGATTTGATTATCATATAAACTCAGTAACATGTAAAATATAAACATTTGTTTGGTGCAAATAATGTTAATAAGTTTTTGTTCAAAATGATCAATTTGTGAGCTGAACTGTTTCTCAACAATAAATAGATTCTTAGCTAATCTTCAAAGCTACAAAATTGCTGAAACCATTAGATTATTAAAAACTGATGAAAAGAGCATTGAAAAACTTTGTAACATTTTTTGGTGGCAACTAGAACCATAGATTTATAAATTGAGCTTTAACTATAAGAATCAAAACTTTTTGGCCCACCATATTTAAGATCACATATCTGGGCATCTTTCCTGTACAATTTCATGCAGACCTTGTCTGCAGGCATTGACCAGCTGATTGGTTTGGACATCTCTCCTAACATGCCAGTGGCTGACTCTTCCAACCCACCAACATAATAGCACTGTAGTAAAACAAGCATTATCATCAATGTTACAATTAATCACCAGTTAGCTGGGGTTTATTTTAAATTTATACACTGAAAGTTCTTGTTTAGTTAGCTAATGCCTAATTGGAATACTAAATTGAAGTTATGAACATGTTAATACCTTTAGATTTAGAAGAAATAAATATAATCAAACTCTTAAAATAAATCACACATAAACATGAAACTTTTTTCTTTTCTCTAAAGTTCAGTTTAGATTTAGAGACATATAAAAAAGATTCAAACAATAAACTTTCTTACAAATCGGTTGTCATCGTTTTTGGATTTCTTGCAGGATTTTCTAAATGCCTCCTCAACTTTCTTGTGATCACTTTTGGTACTTTCATCCAATGAATTGATGAACTTTGTCAAATGTTTGACACAAACTAAAATTTGATAAAACAAAAATAAAATATAATTTAAAAAAAGTTATTGTTAAAAACTAATTGACGAGTCATTTTTAAATAAAAATGAAAACTAAACCAAAAACATTGTTTTCAATTTAACTAAAACATTTAAATTAAATAAATGACATGTCGTGTTAGAATTGATTAAGTTTTTTAGTTAGTACTGAGTAAATTTATTTATAAATTTTAATCAAGATTAAATAAAATAAAATTATTTACAGTGTAACTTACAATCAAATTTATTTTATTGATTGAATTAAAATTTAAATCAGATAAAGAAAGAAACAAATACAATTGAAATAAATAAATAAATGACTGAATAGAATAATAAAGCAGTGAACCTTCGCAATTCTCTTCAGTGGCCTCGCTAATTTTTTTTGCTTCTGTGGTTTCTATAACCAGAAGCATGGAGAAGATGCCAAAGAGGCTGAACGTGAGAAACAGCCCCAGACGAGCGTTAGTGTTAATGTTCATCCCAGCCATTTTTTATTTTAAAAATTATAAAAGTGAAATATTGTACGTTTTCAAAACGAGGAATTATCTGGCCGACGAGGTAAGTTCTCGAAGTAACTTTGCAAGATAAACAATCAGTGAGGAGAGTTGGCGATTTTTCATTGGTTGTTATTTTGTCGTCATTTCCGTGGATAAACGCGGTTAAAAGCGAACTTTAGTTGTGATTGAATATTAAAATACAGTGATGCGCTTGAATTCCCAGTTAATTGAATGCTCTACGATCTTTCCGGTTCTACTTATTACCATACGTTGATAATATTCATTTACTAATTTTTATTTACGTCTCAATCATGTCGTGCTGGCCACTGAAACACCAAATTTTTAATCTTGCTCAATTCATTCTCGCTAAAATACAATACAACTTCAAATCTCATTCAAGGGTAATCAAATTTGAATAAATTTTCGTCCGGTGAAGTGACTTATACCATTTATTTCAATTCAAAATTCTTCTCCATTACACGTCTGTTCAGTAACGGAGACATTGCGAAAAATGGAATTTTAGTATAGGAATTGAGCTATAGCACTTAAATAATCGAA